TTCTAAACTTGCCAGATGAAATTGTTGCAGTTACTTGTTTGTAAACTGAGTGAGATTTGGTCACTTAAGGGTTTACACCTCTTTTAACTTTTTATTTAGCCGAAATGAAGTTTAATCCCTTTGTGACTTCTGACCGAAGCAAGAACCGGAAAAGGCATTTCAATGCGCCTTCCCACATTCGCAGGAAAATTATGTCTTCCCCTCTTTCTAAAGAGCTGAGACAGAAGTACAATGTCCGATCCATGCCCATCCGGAAGGATGATGAAGTTCAGGTATGTGCCGTGTTCCCGTCATCTTGCCGAATAGCCCACACATTAGGCATAGACGATGGATTGCATTCTGAGAGTGATACATCTGAGACATTGGCTCCCAGAACAGGATTGCAAAAGGAGTTGAGCTGGGGACTAAACAAAAAGTATGCAGCTTTCTTCACCTTTACACTTCGGTGAAAATCAGTTGTCTCAAGCGTCAGATGCAGTCATAATTAAACAGAAGAAAGGGAGTTTGGAACCAGAATCTTAGTTTGGAGTTATCTTTTTCTGGGTATGTTTGGGCATTGGAGAGGCATTTGAGGACCAGTAAGCAATTCTGTGCCTGAATCAAAATCCATATATAAGTTACAACTGAGCTGTAGTTTCATATGATTGTTTGAGAGTACCAGTAAATAATTTGTCAAGTCTATTTAAGTGAAAATGTCTGTTAATGTTTCTTAGCTGTAACTTGCAGCTAGTGATTAAGATTCAAGTAGTCTCTAAAGCAGCTTACACGTTACCAGCATGTCATGAGATGAATAGCCATTTGTCGCTCCTGTGCTGGTGCTAAAATTGCCAGTAGGTTTCAGAGGCAGTCTCCTCTGCTTTCTGCAACTGGGAAGAAACATCTGTTCAGAAGCACTTTGGCAACCTGAGGGTCGTTGGGACTTGCGGGTACAAAACGATGTTAGTTAACCTCAGGGAAAGAAGTGGCCTGTTTCCTTAAATATTAGCTGCTGCCCACTCTTTGGCACTTAGTTGGGCCCTTTAATGGGTTGTGAATTTAATATTTATGGCCTCTTGTTCCCTTTGAGATGGAGTGACAGTTTCCTTGTCAACTTGGTACAAAAAACCAAGGTGGGCTTGTTCCTCGTTTTTAACCTTTTAACAAGCCCACCACTGCTGGTGGGTCATCAGTTGTAGGATGCACTGTCCGTCACTGTAGATTTATATGGAGTGTAGTTTATTTCCAGGTTAATTGAAGCCAGAGATAGAATTATTGGCACATTTCCATTAATGATTAGGTCTTTCAAAATTGGAAGATCCTGTATATCTGATAAAGTGAATGATGTTTACCTGATTCATAGGTTTCCTGATTTTCAAGTTTAATATTCTTTTAACCACATATATCTTCTATTTTTGAATTTGCATTTAGGTTGTACGAGGGCACTACAAAGGGCAGCAAATTGGCAAAGTAGTCCAGGTTTACAGGAAGAAGTATGTCATCTACATTGAACGAGTGCAGCGGGAGAAGGCTAATGGCACAACTGTCCACGTGGGCATTCACCCCAGCAAGGTGGGTGTTTTTAAGAATGCCTGAGAGGAGAGAAGGAAATTTTAACAGTTATTCTGTATGTGTATTTAACGTACCTTTTCCTTAAAAGCTATTAGTAAGCTGATCAATCAATCTAAAAATGAATAGATCTTAAAATATAGGAAATCGGGTAATTTTTAGATGATATGGAGCTGATACCCTGTGTATTAAACAGAATTGAGTAAACAGTAAGGCACATTTACAGCCCTGCAAAGTAGGTATTAAGTCATTTGCAGATGGAAAAAATCTGGACCTCAGAGTCTAGATCCCATTGATAGTGGTATCTAAGCCAAAATAGAAGATAATGGTCTGATTCTCATGTCCTGGACTTTAATGTGAATTCTCCAATATGCTGTCTGATCTCTCTCAATTAAAAAAATATGTTTAATATAAAGGTAATAAATGTGCTTGGTGCCTATTCAGATAATGAGGTGTTCGTTTTTTAAGATCTTGAGTTGGCACCACAAATCTATCTTCAAACTACAGGAAAGTCGAAAGACTAGTACAGCTGTTGCATATCTTTCACCTAGAATTCACAACTACCATTTTCTTTGCCCTTTTCCCTACCCACTAGTGGATTACAAACATCGTGGCACTTCACCTCTAATTACTTCAGTGTGTATCTCTTAAGAGCGAAGACTTTCCCATTCTTTACTACAGTCTTATTTTTGCCCCCAACTAGATGAGCCATTGTCAAGGTCACCAATCCAGTGACCGATTCTTAGTGTTTTATGAACTTAATGCAGCATTTGACAGTTGATCTCCCTCTTTATGGCTCATCTTCATCTCTTATTCCAGACAAACCTCAATATCCAGTTGACTAGTTTGCATGTCAACTTAGATACCCAATCAATATCTCACACCTGACATGTTTAAATTCCTGGTTTTATCCTTGACCCTCTTGCAGTTTGTTACTGTCACTGTGTGTGGCAGCTTTGTCGTAATGGCTCAGGCCAAAATGTCATTATTATATACCCCACATGAGTCGATAAGACCTGTTGACTGATGTCACATTGTATCCAGAATATTGTTACCATCAGAGTGGCCTACAAGATTGATCACCAGCTGCTACTTTTTTTTTTTTTTTAATTTATTTTTGGCTGCATCGGGTCTTCCTTGCAGCGCACACAGGCTTTCTCTAGTTGCGGCGAATGCGGGCTACTCTTCGTTGCGGTGCGCCGGCTTCTCATTGCGGTGGTCCCCCGCTGCTTCTTTTTTTTTTTTTTTAATTTATTTTTGGCTGCATCGGGTCTTCCTTGCAGCGCACACAGGCTTTCTCTAGTTGCGGCGAATGCGGGCTACTCTTCGTTGCGGTGCGCCGGCTTCTCATTGCGGTGGCTTCTCTTGCTGCACAGCACGGGCTCTAGGCACATGGGCTTCAGTAGTTGTGGCTCGTGGGCTCTAGAGTACAGGCTCAGTAGTTGTGGCACACAGGCTTAGTTGCTCCGCGGCACGTGAGATCTTCCCCAACCAGGGCTCGAACCGGTGTCCCCTACATTGGCAGGCCGATTCTTAACCACTGCGCCACCAGGGAAGTCCCATCACCAGCTACTTCTTGATGTCACCTTATTCCACTCTCCGTGTTCTAGTCCACTGGCCTCTTTACTGTTCCTACAGCCATGCTACTCAATGTGTCTGCTGGTTGGCAGCATCACCTGGCAACTTCATAGAATTGTACATTCTTTTCCCAGGTCTACTGAAGCAGAATTTGGGGGTGGGACCCAGGGGTCTATTTTAATAAGCCCTCCAGACACACTCAAATTTGAGAAACACAGCTGTTAAACTTAGAAGTTCTTCTGTCTCTGGACTTCTGTGCTTGCTGTTCTGTTTGGAATACTCTACCCCTCTTATCAAGTCTCTGTTCAAATATAGACCTTTCCATGAGGCTTTGCCTGATCTCGATTATGATTTAGCCCCTGTCCTCCAGCATTCCATCTCATATTAGATATAACCTCCATGGCAGTGGACATTATCTTTTGGTCGCTATGCTATATTTCCAGACCTTGTTCAGTGCTGTCTTTGCCTTCCCTCACCTTCCTCTCTAAGACTAAAATTTATCATAATCTGGGTGTCTTTAGTGACAAATCTGTTGGAAAAAGGTCTGTTCTATGACTTCACTAAAGGTTTTGCAGGTTGAAGCATGTGTGAAGGCTACATTTAATTTCCGACCTTGTACTAACGTTACTATAGAAACAAAAATGTGTGTGACTTTGTTAGCTTATAAAAGAGTGGAATAATTGAAACGTTTTGCAGTAGAAAAAGAAGCTGATTTTCTAATAAAGCACAGAAGAGGACGTGAGAAGAACCGCCAGTGCCACGTTGCCTTCTCCTTTGTTGGCCGAGCATTAGTGAACATTTAAATTTAAGCCAGGTTTGGGGGTAAGGAATCATTTCTGGCGCTTCAGAGTGTTTAGGTATCCACTCCCACAGGTGTGGGGAATGGCACTGAATGTTGGCCTTCCCATGTGTTCTGTGTTGGTAATTGTTTAAAGCTCAGGAGCATATTTTCTTATTTGTCTGCAGGTGGTTATCACCAGACTAAAACTGGACAAAGACCGCAAAAAGATCCTCGAACGTAAAGCCAAGTCTCGCCAAGTAGGGAAGGAAAAGGGCAAATATAAGGAAGAAACAATTGAGAAGATGCAGGAATGAAGTGATCTTGTATACAACTTTCATTAAAAACTGTTAAAATGAAGAGTCTTTGTTTATGTGTGGTGCTTTGAGACGCCGACTAGATTTCGGTGGGTCGGTTTTCAGGGAAGTTCAGGTGATGTTAGCTATCTAGGGGCAGACTACCCTTATCTTGTGGCTTGATTCCAGTAATGAAAAGTACTGTTTAGAGAGAGTTGGTTTTTTAACCAACTTTGAGCATCAGTTCTTTTTTTTAAAAAAATATTTACTTTTAGCTGCGTTGGGTCTTCGTTGCTGCGCTTGGGCTTCTCATTGCGGTGGCTTCTCTTGTTGGGGAGCACGGGCTCTAGACCACAGGCTCAGTAGTTGTGGCACACGGGCTTAGCTGCTCTGCAGCATGTGGGATCTGCCAGGACCAGAGCTCGAACCCGTGTCCCCTGCATTGGCAGGCGGATTCTTAACCACTGCGCGACCAGGGAAGTCCCAAGCATCAGTTCTTTAATGACTGAAATGCTTTCTAACAATATTCCGAAATCGGGACTAATAAAATAGTGATTTTCTTTTACAGCAAGCAGCAGCACTTTGCGGTAAAGCTGAATACCCGAGGACCCTTTACCACTTTGTTTTCTGCACTGACGTTGTGAGTGCTGTTAGACCAAAATGAATCTTTAGCTTACAGTCTGAAGCAAGAAGTGCTCAACTAAAATGCAGTTTCTCCTAGAGGATTAAGCGATACCGTGCACAGAGTAATTGTTGGCAACACCCTTCTCACTTTAGACTTAAGCATTTAAACGTGTAGGACGATGAATGGGGTTTACTTTCCAGGCTGGAAGCGAGCATTTATCTTGGAGCCTTTACGACAACGTGGGGAAATAGGTGACCAATTTTGCCGCCGCCGGAGACCTGAGTTAGTGGCTGGCTTAGCCAAGGTCGCACCTGGGCCGGCCCTAGCTATCACCTCAGTGATCTCACTCACCGCAGCTTCCGCTGAGCACCCTGCAGGCTGGGCAGGACCCCGGAACACAGCCTTCGTAACCGAGAAAAGGAGTAAGGTTTCTACCCGCCGCGGCGTCTGCGGACTGCCCCTCGGGAGGGGCGGGGCTTCCGGCCGGCGTGGAGCCGCTTCCGGCCGGCACGGCCGGCCTCCGCCGCCGTGGGCCCACGCGGGCGAGAGAGGACCGGGCGGTGCTGGCGGACGCAGCCGTGGATGGGGCGGACTCCTGACCCTGCGGCCCTGGCGTATTCCTTTTCCCTTCCGGACCTCCCTCTCCTGCAAAACCACCCGGATCGGCCTCTCTTCCCGCTGGCCTGGCTCATTCATTTCACTCCTCCCCCGGAGTTGGCCGCCCTTGGAGGAGTGGGCGGGCCCGACTAGCAGGCGGAACCCTCGTGGCACCTGGCGCGGTGGTGGCGAGACCGCGGAACCCAAGACGGCACAAAGGACTTGATGCCCGAACCAGGTTTTCGGGAATAATCGGGAGTTTGTATTGTGGAAGGTGCGGGGACACTGCACTAAGTGCATTATCTGCATTATCACCGAGTCTTCCCAACAACTCGTTGTGATGGAGAGTGGTATTCTCCCCACTTTATAGTTGTGGAAAATGAAGCCTGAGTAACTTTGCCCAGCCTACTCACACAGTAAATGATAGCGTCAGAAATTGACTTACCATGCCTCTGCAATGCCTCTCTTCTATACCTGTAAGCCACGTGTTTGACAAATGCCCTTTGAACATCTTTCGTCTCAGCTCTGTAGTCATCTGCCCTCTGAGGGGATACAGCGAGGTAGAAGCCTCAGCCCCTGCCTTCTAGGTTTGTACACCTGAACCAGTCGATTGAAAATGCAAAGCGCTCCAGTGAGTGGTGCAGGCTGTTCAGAGGCAGGAGAGATGGCAGTCAGCTGGAGTGCATCAGGAAGGATGCTGATTTGAGCTGGGTGTGACTTGGAAGAACCTGTTCCACTTCCGGGACAGCCAAAGCGAAGACTCGCAGGTGGGTGAGGAAGGAAGATCTTTCCAGTTTTCTCTAAACAAGCTCATTTATCAGCCCACCAGCACAGATCACACCAGGAAGTTAGCCGTCTTTCTTTGGGGCCTCGTTTCTTTCCTTTTGCTTTAGAACAGGTGTTGAAAACTCAAGTAACTACAGGGGTGGGCAGCTAAGGTGAATAGTTAGTAGCTGGCTTAAAGACTGTGGGAAACAGAGTGTAGACTGTCTAAAGGGAGTGGCTGCCTCTCTACTCCAGCCAGTCGTTGCCAAGTAGCAAAGCTCCCAGTATGACTGGATCGTCCCATTTTTCATGAAAGCCAGAAGCCTAGATTTTTATATGAACTCCCCAGTCTGTAAATATAGGTAAACCATTCAATTTTTAAAAAACAAACACTGGGTAGACTAACCAACATATGTCTATTAGCCAAATGTGACTCTAGGGCTGTGCTTTAGAATTTCATGGTATAGGGTAAGGACCATTTCTCATATTAAAGACTGAGATTTTTCCATCTTTTGATTATAAACTATTTCTAGTGTGTCTTCTTCATTCTTTTATAGGATGGAGGTGAGGCCTTTCCTTCCCGTGTAGTTCCTTGAAGGGCCTCAAATAGCAGCCAGTGCAGCCAATTTCTGAGAGATGCTGGTTTCAGTGAGGAGTCTGGAAGGTGCTCCTCCTGGATCCCGTTGAATATCTTGTGGTTTCAAGTCTCTTCTAAGGACTGTGGGATGATAATACATATTCTTTGGGAAACAAAGCCCCATGTCAATGATTATATGGCACTGGTGGATGAAACAGACTGGTTTATTTACTGCAGGACTTCTCAGAGCCTTTAAAAATGTCAGTTTGCACTGAGGGTCTTGAGCTCAGGCTTAAAGAGCATATTATAAACATTCTGTTTCTTCGATCCTGAAATGCATATTTTTCACCTTTAAAAAATCTGGATGTGTGGGCAATTCCCTGGCAGTTCAGTGGTTAAGACTCTATACTTCCACTGCAAGGGGCACAGGTTCAATCCCTGGTTGGGGAACTAAGATTCCGCATGCCGCGCAGCGTGGCAAAAAAAAAACAGCTGGATGTGTTCATTTAATATAGGGACTCAGTTTTTCCTCTCAAAAGAAAATTGTCATTATGTCAGTGGTTTTACAGTTAGTAGTGTCTTTAGAATCAGGAATGTTCCATGCTTAACCAGTGATGCCAGTCGAGGGAATTCGAAGACTTTTTAGTGGCGGACATTCAGGATCTGGAAGCAGGCTCAGCTTAACTGAGACTCTTGCTCAGAGCTTTTAATTGTTTCCATCGGGACCTCCCTGGTGGTCCAGTGGTTAAGACTCCACACTCCCAGTGCAGGGGGCCCGGGTACCATCCCTGGTCAGGGAACTAAATCCCATATGCATGCCACACCAAGATCCCGTGTGCCACAACTAAGACCCAGCATGGCCAAACAAATAAATATTAAAATATATATACATATTTTAAAATGTTTCCATCTTTCTTTGCTTCTCAGGATTCTGCCCTACCCCTCAGCTCTTCATCTGATGGCTGGCATCTCGGGGATCTTGTTTTCCTAAGATTATTGGAATTCCTGTGATCATCACATGAACTCTTCCCCTGGCCTCATCACCATCCTGTGTTCCAGAGTTGTTCTAACTAAGGAACCTTGGTTTAGACACCTGAGTATCAAGTTCTCTTCCAGAGAAATTCTCCAATCTTGGTGGAGTGTGGACTCCATTTGGGGTACCTCTTTGGCATGATAATCTCCTGACATATCTCTATGTCCCTAGATGTAATCTTTTCATTTCTGGAAACAGGCCCTGCTGCCTTGTCAGAACCATCAAGACTGTACCTGAAAGTGTCTCCCGGCCTTAGAGTGCTCAAGTTCTCTTGGACTCTCTGCTTTGTTCTGGAAATATGTGGGCTCCAGCTCAGGCAGTGTCAAAACAGGTCAGGCCTACAGACCTCCCAGGAGGACAGAACCCCTCTTCCTCACCCACGTAGCTGGACTCATCTTGCTGGATATGAGACCTTTCCTCTCCCTCTGTTATCTTTTCTTTGTGTAGTACTCACATGACTGACATTCAGTCGTGCATGTGGGCACGCCTTTGTTCCCAGTACCTCGACTGTCTCTTTCCTAGTCCTGCTGCAGCTACTCCTTAGCCCAGGACCCGAGACAGAACCGCCCCTGTGGCAGCAGCTGGTGTCATTTCAGGAGGCAGTGACGTTTGAGGATGTGACCAGAGATTGGAAGTGTCAAGAGGCCTCTCAGAAGGATTGCAGCAGGGACACAATGCTGGACAGTTGCAAGAAGCCAGTCCCTCAGCGTAAGGACTTGTCTTCATTTACTAATCCTGTGTACAATCGATGGGGAAAACCATCATTTAAAAATATCCCAGGAATTCCCTGGCCGTCCTGTAGTTAGGACTCCACGCTTCCACTGCAGGGCATCCGGTTTCGATCCTTGGTCGGGGAACTAAGATTCCCCTCCGCCCTCCCCCGACAACCCCGCTGCAAGCCACGTGGTGCGGCCAAAAAAATCCCCAAAAAATCCCACCGCGTTCTCCTTGAGTCTCCTAAAATGAGGACAGACTCTTCAGCCAGCCGAAATTAAGTTGATTGTGGGAAAGCTAAAAAGCTGCCTCTGGTGCTAACTTCAAGTTCACAACTTACTATTGTCATGTGGGTTCCTTCTAGCAACGTTCTCCCATTTATATTATTTTAAAAGGAATGGAGGATGAGATATCAGACTATTATTGCCTTAGGCATTTCCATTTATCCTCTCCTTTTCAGTTAGCAAAGACGAATTAATAGGTTTCACTGTTTGAGCTAACAGTTTTATTAATTACTCTGTCTAAAGTCAAAAATTACTACATATCTGTGTATATATCTTGCTGATTTAAAATTCTGTTGACATGGCTCTGGTTATGAATGGGCCCAGTGGGCCCTCTAGTTATCTTTATTCTTTGTTTATTTATTTGGTTGTGCCTGATCTTTGTTGCGGCAGGTGGGCTCCTTAGCTGTGGCATGCGAGCTCTTAGTTGTGGCATGCATGTGGGATCTAGTTCCCTGACCAGGGATTGAACCCGGGGCGCCTGCATTGGGAGCGCAGAGTCTTAACCACTGTGCCACCAGGGAAGTCCCTCTAGTTATCTTTCTTCTGTTACTGCTTTATACCATTACTTTAGTAATCTTTCTTCCATATGTTCAAAAATCAGATGAAAGAGATAATGAGGAACTTCAGAGGGAAAGTCTTCCAGATGGAATATCAGCAAATTTAACCTTGTTCTGTTTCTTTCTACATTTCTTAGGATCCTTCTTACAGTTCTCCATGATGCCACAGAGAGCCGGAAATGATCCCCCTGGGGTTTCAAATCCAAGTGAAATGGAAAAGGAGATAAGTAACATGAGAGAAAAGTTTCTCATCAGCGTGACAAAGTTAGTGGAAAGCAAAAGTTACAACAGCAAGGTATTTTCCAAAGAAAAGTACTTTCAAACAATAAAGGAAGTGAAAGAAGCTAAGGAGAAGGGGAGGAAGTCATCACGTGATTATCGCCGTGCAGCAAAATATGACGTGATCTCTGTACAAGGCACAGAGAAACTAATAGAGGCTACTCACGGAGAACGAGATCGAATACGGTATTATGTACACAAGGAAGAGCTGTTTGACATTCTTCATGACACACATCTCAGTATTGGCCATGGCGGGAGGACGCGCATGCTCAAGGAGCTTCAAGGAAGATATGGGAATGTCACCAAAGAAGTCATTGTCTTATATCTGACTCTGTGTAAACAGTGCCACCAGAAGAACCCAGTATCCAAGAGAGTCCTCCCACCCAAGCCCATGCCATTTAAGGACATTGACTCCAGATGCCAAGTTGAAATCCTTGACATGCAGTCAAATGCTGATGGTGAGTTCAAGTTTATTTTATATTACCAGGACCGCTTGACCAAGTTTATTATTTTACGGCCATTAAAAGCCAAACAGGCCCATGAGGTGGTCGCTGTCCTGTTGGATATTTTCACAATTCTTGGTACACCCACGACGTTAGAATCTGACAGTGGTTTGGAGTTCACAAACCAGGTTGTCAGTGAGCTCAATGAGGTATGGCCAGACCTAAAGATTGTCCCTGGTAAGTACCACCCTGGCCAAGGCCAGGGCTCCCTGGAGCGAGCAAGCTGTGATGTCAAGAACATGCTAAGTGCCTGGATGCAGAGTAACCATTCACATCACTGGGCCGAAGGCCTGCGATTCATGCAGATGGTGAGGAATCAGGCCTTTGATGTTTCCTTGCAGCAAAGTCCATATGAGGCGATGTTTGGTTGTAAAGCCAAATTTGGACTCTATTCCTCACACTTACCCCGGGAAACCGTGGCTGTTTTACAAACAGAAGAAGAACTAGAAATTGCTGAAGAACAGCTAGAAAGCAGCCTTTGGATCAGGCAGGAGGAGAGAGCTGAGGTCGGAGCAGACCGATCTGACATGGATGAGGACGTCAATTCCACTCCTCCCAAAGCTGCAGAGCCCAGCACCTCCCAAGGGGCCCCAGGTCTCTTCTGCTGGTGAACAGACACCTGCCTCTGGGCACCGTGTAGCCACCTGAGAACTGTTGCCAAGGCCCCAGATGAAAGGAGTGAAGGCCACACTCTCAGGAAAGCTGTCCATGGTAGTCCTGGCTCACAGGGGGAAAGCAACTTGGGTCTCTGATCTCGGGCTGCCATAAAAAATTACCACAAATATGGAGGCTTAAAACAACAGCACTTTCCTCTCCCATAGTTCTGGAGGCTAGAGGTCTGAAATCAAGGTGTTGGTAGGGTTCGTCCCTTCTGGAGGCTCTGAGGGAGAATCCATTCCATGCCTTTCTCCTTTGGTGGCTGCCAGCAGTCCTTGCATGCCTTGGCTTAGAGTAGCACAAATCCAGTCTCTGCCTCGTCTGCACATGGGTCTTCATGTGGCCTTCTCCCCTCTGTCTGTGTGCTCCTTTTCTGTCTCTTACAAGGACACTGTTGGAAACCAAATCTATGTCATTGGACTTAAGGCCCATCCTAATTGAGGATCTCATCTCCAGATCCTTTTTATTTACTTTTGGCTGCATTGGATCTTCGTTGCTGCGAGTGGGCTTTCTCTAGTTGCGGCGAGCTGGGTCTACTCTTTGTTGCAGTGTGCAGGCTTCTCCTTGCCGTGGCTTCTGTTGTTGCAGAGCACGGTCTCTAGGTCTGTGGGCTTCAGTAGTTGTGGCACACGGGCTCAGTAGTTGTGACACATGGGCTCAATAGTTGTGGCTCGCGGGCTCTAGAGCACAGGCTCAATAGTTGTGACGCACAGGCTTAGTTGCTCCATGGCATGTGGGATCTTCCCGGACCAGGGCTCGAACCCGTGTCCCCTGCATTGGCAGACGGATTCTTAACCACTCTGCCACCAGGGAAGTCCCTCAAGATCCTTAATTTCATCTGTGAAGACCCTTTTTCCAAGTAAGGTCACATTCACAGGTGCTAGGGGTTTGGACTTGGATGTATCTTTTTGGGGGGCTGCAGTTCTACCAACTACAGTTAATGGAAGAGTATGTTTGCCTGCAGAACATGAACTGATGGGGTCTGAAGCCTGTAGAGCTGGTGGGACTGCCTTACATATATCTAGTGCCTGTTCCTGCTTCTAGACACATAACCCAAAAGATGGGGGCATCAGAGAAAAAGATGTAGGTGAAGGACAAATAACGAGAAGAAAAGAGGTTGATCTAACATGACCCAGAGATTGCCTGCCCCACCAGGCAATCAAGTTTCCTGCTTCAAGAGAAATCTGATGTACCATGCCCACTCTCAGAATGGCACCCACAGGGATTATTGTGTGATGTGTCTGAAACATATTTTAAAAATAGGTCAAAATTAAGGCATGGCTGGGATTTGGGTCTGAGTCTGCCAGTTTTCTATACCTCAGGCATGGCACAACATGTATTCTTGGAAAGGGTCAGTGCATTCCAGGAAGTGACTAGTAGCAGGGAAACAACTAAGCACTCCAGAGCAAAATACAAAAGTTGGCCTGAGGTCACTGCTCCAACCAGAGAAGAATAGAGCAAAGGCCAGTCTGGGTCATAGTTCAGAGTAAAGGGAAGAGTAATGCCCAGGATCTGTGCACTGCTTTATTCTGAAGGCCTGGAAGAGTACATAGCCCATCAGAGGTGTTCAGTAAGGGTTTGCTGCGTGAACAAATGATTCTTCAGAGATGGACACTGGGAAGGAGAAGGGGCCTGCAGTCCCTCATTCTCCCGTTCATTCTTCCTGCATCTCAAAACCATTCTGATTGCCCCTGGCACTGGTTTCCTCTTCTGAAAGAGGCAAGAACAGTCCTGATGCCGCCTACCTCAAGGGGTCTTTGTGAAAGACAGTGAGATAATGCATGTGAAGTTCTAGATGTGAGTTGTCCTTGCTATCAGCAGATCTTATCCTCCTTGTGAGCTTTGGAGATCTCTGTCCGTTGCCATTCCTTTGCTGATTAAACAGTGTTAAGCTGGATATCCAGGAAGGCTGCATTATTATTAGAAAGGAGATGATATCACTTTCCAGCTTGTTTGGGGGGGACCAGAATCTTGCTCTATCCTTGGCCAGCACCTCACGTTCCATCCTTTGTATCACTCAGGCTAGCAGGGCCTTGGAGGCCCAACTCCACTGATGTTGCCAGCCCTCCCCGCATGCTGACTTCCTGGTTGCGGAGCAAACCAGGAACCACATCATCAACTCGTGTGGGTGAGAGGTGAAATGAGGCATGACACTACTGCCTTTTCCGGGGGTGGCCACAAATAACCTAGGCTTCCGGAGCTGCCGCATCTGTCTTCCTTTGGTCCTTAGGGTCGCAGTGGAGAGCGGGAGTGGACACATAGACCCGGTCCAGCCTTACTCTGCATTAACACATTTCAGCATCTGGAACAGAACTGACTGCTTTCAATTTGCAAATATATTTTGTCCACCTAATGTTTTTGTTTGTTTGGTTTTCTTGTTTGTTTGTTTTTGTTTTTTGTGGTACGCGGGCCTCTCACTGTTGTGGCCTCTCCCATTGCGGAGCACAAGCTCTGGACACGCAGGCTCAGCGGCCATGGCTCACGGGCCCAGCCGCTCTGCGGCATGTAGGATCTTCCCGGACCGGGGCACGAACCCGTGTCCCCTGCATCGGCAGGCAGACTCTCAACCACTGCACCGCGCCACCAGGGAAGCCCACACCTAATGTTTTTTAAATGTAAAAAATTAATTGCCATCACTTTCAAAACAGATTTCATATAAAAATCTGGATGTCCAGCACCTCTTGAAAACTTGGAAGATCTGGCCCCCCGCATCTTTGCACGGCAGCAGAGGACCAAGTGGTGACCCCCAGGAAGCAGGCCTGCGTTCTACACTTGGCCACCATCTGGGCCATTCCAGCATTTTTGCATATGCATTTCTGTGGCCTGTTGCTAAAGAAAGGCAAATGAAGTCAGAATGTGAATAAAGGCCAGAAACAGACCCATGCCTCTAGGAATTTATGATAAAAGGGGCATTTTACAACTGGGAGGGGTTGTATTATTCAGTTAATGGTGCTGGTCAATTATACCTCAATTTAAAAAAATAATGGTGCTGGATCATATAGCTATCCAGCTGGAAAAAAATGAAATCTGATCCCTAAATATAAAGAACAAAACTAAAAGATATTGGGGGAAAAGGAGATTTGGGGGATCTTGGAATGGAGAAAGCCATAAAAGAAAAGGTTACTAGGCTACATAAAAATTTTAAATATCTATGAAAAATAATACCTTTAAAAAAGTGAGGAAAAGATAAATGACAGGCTGTAAGAAAATATTTGCAACATCTAAAACAGACATAAGGGACTGTCAACTGAAAAATGCATAACCTAAAAGTTGAGAATTATGGTTTATTCAGCAGACTTACTGAGGACTTAAGCCTGGGATACAGCTTCTCAGATAGCTCTGAGGGCCTGGTCCATAGAGGTAAGGGAGGAGCCAGGATATATAGCAGTTTTTGCAAAAACAAAAAAACAAAAAACAAAAAAACCCAAAATAGGTAATCAAACATCAAAAGATTACTGCTAATTTTTTAAAAAGACAGACATCTCAAGTTAATGAATTTAGCACTTTTCTATGTATGGGAAGATGCAAGAGTCTATTGAAATTAGCCCTTTGATACGCATCTTAACTAGGGACCAGTATCCTGTTTTGCTCCATCCTGAATCTCCTCAGGGTGCACAGTCGTGGGCAGCCGCAGGGGCTCATGACTTGATGGTCACAACATCCTTTGTTTACTGATACTGCAGGCAACATTCTTTGTGCACAGAACCTAATTTTTAAAAGAGCACTTATAAAAAAAAAAAAAAAAAAAGAGCACTTATAAATTAATGAGAAGAGCAGCCAAAAGGAAAGAGCAGAGGTTAACTGCAGAAGAAAAACAAACGGGTAGCTGTGCCCCGGTGCAGCTGTGGTGGGATGGAAGCACACTGGACTTGTAATCAGATCAGGGCTGTCCATTTATATGAAACATTCAAGTTATTTGAGGGTTTTTTTTCTGCCATGCATGGGGGAGAGGAGAAAAATGTTTAGTGATACTGTCTTGTTTTAACAGATATCTGACTGATAAGGAACTACAGTAATAGTTATACTGTATTCAGAACAGCAGTTTTCATTTCCTGGGGCTGCTGTAACCAACTGAGGGGCACAAAAATTTATTGTGTCACAGTTCTGGAGGTCGTTAAGTGTGAGACCAAGATGTCAGCGTTGGTTCCTTCTGATTGCTGTGAGGAAGAATCTGCTCCAGGCCCCTCTTTTAGCTTCTGGCGGCCTCAGGTGTTCCTTGGCTTGTAGATGACATTCTCCCTATGTCTTCACATCATCTTCCCTCTGTGCGTATCTGTCTCTGTGTCCAAATTTCCCCTTAGCATAGCGGATTAAGGCCCACCCTTAATGAGCTCACTTTAACATGATCATCTGCAGAGACCCCATTTCCAAATAAGGTCATATTCACAGGTACAGGGCAGGAGATGGGGGTTAGGACTAAAGCATCTTTGGGGTGACACAGTTCAACCCATATAGCAGGAGCCAATCAGTATGACAGTTTTTTAAGAGGTAGTTTTCATGAGGTATGGCAACAATTTCCAAAGTCTTAGAAGACTTACAAAACCCTCCTGTTTAAATGATACTTACAAGGGCAGATTTATTCTGACAGAAGACAGAAGAGTTGCCAGTTACAAACATTCATACAAATATCCAATATCAATTCTTGAGAAAGATCTTAATTTAATAACTTGTCCAACTAGATTATTTGGCTTTGTTTTGTTTGTTTTGGCGGAGTCCTAACCACTGTACCGCCAGGGAATTCCCCTTGGCTTAATTTTAAAATGCATCGTCCGCAGGAGAGAGGGAATATTGCCATATCTTTTCTGAGGCTCCTTTTGTTAATTATGAAGACTTACATTTTTAAACATTTTTTAAGGCTAATCTCTGGGATTCTGTTCTGTGGCCTATGGAACTTGATTTTACTAGGAAAAGTAAATGGAGAATGGGCTAAAGATGATTTGACTTAACAGTGAAGTGAGGATCCTGCAGCATTTTTTCCCCACAGCCTCAAGCCTGTAAACTTGATACGTAACCTTGAACAAATCCCCTGAGCTCAAAGCTCGCCTGTAAAATGGGGATGATGATAATA